TATGCCTATAATTCAGTGCTAAATGACATCTTAAAAAAACGTGAATTGTTTCTATTACCAATTATATCTATCTACCTAAATATTAAAGACGTTTAATTTAAATTTCAAAGAATTCTTAATATATTTTATTAAAGCATTCTCGTTATATTCGTCCGATAGTCCGCAGCTTATCCTATCTCTGCAATCTTGTTCCATCTCAATCCATCACTTAAATTGAAAAAATCGTTTGAGCAGGGATTTCCTTGGGTTGCAGAATCTCTCTTATCTTTTATTACCATACTAGATATTGCACGCGACTTTTTACCATATAAAATAGTTACATTGATTCAACACCCGTTTTAGGTTTTAAGATAAGAATCAAATAAGAAATCTTAACAATATAACAATCTCTAAATGTCAAATCCATTGCTAACTGGGTACTGCTTTAACCATCTGAGACCAAAATATATATATCTTTGACAATACAGAGATAAAAATATGTTTAAAAATGTTTGGTATTAGAAACCCACGGTTAATTCATTACATAATTGTGTATGGAAGTAAGCAATTAAAATTAACAATTGTTCTATAATTTTCAACCACTGATATATTTGTTTTTGTTATATATATGCTATATTTCTTCATATTTATTTTAGTAAAAGGTGTATTATATGTACTTTATATTTAGCATCTGTTTCCCCTGATAGAGGGCTACGTTCGGTCCTCCCTGTCGACCTGTGTCTCGCATCCCCTCCGCTACATTGACCCAGATTTTATGAAATTACTTCTGTGAATAGAATATCCGTACTGATATTTGTTTACACTCGTTATTATAATTTAACCGACGTATGTGTTCCACGATAAAGTTCTAAATGTCATTAAAATAAAAAATATGTATTTACATAGCAAAAACATTCATTATTAAACTTTAAGATAAATACCAGTTAACATAGAATTTGTTTTAAGTTACTCCTTCTGGAGTTACTCCTTTGAAAATCTTATATCGATAAATAGCGTAAAATTAGACTAGAATTAGATTGAAAGGACGCATAAATGGTGCTAAATATGGAAACTACGACAGAAAAGGACAGGTCTGCGTGTTAGAAAGACTCAGATTCAAAAAACTTTCCTAAAGGTATTAATATTCTATTAACAATAACTAATTTAATTTACTTCAAACAAAGCAATAATTTTGCATAAAATTGTATTGAAAATATGTAAGTTTCCAGTAGCATAGTATGCAGTAGGCTACATTATTCCATTCTTATGAAGGTAAATATTTTCCGTACTCCACTTTTACATAAATGATTCAGAACGAATAACATTGAGTTGGTAAAGAATTTTAATAATAAAATTTTCCCCGGACATTGGAATCCGACGCGCTCAGATTTTATCAAAGTTATATTCCGTCTGAATTCACTGCAGCATCTGATAGTTTTGCACAGTTGTAGCGTGGTATTTAAACAAGTATAAAATGAAACCTTACTTCATTCTTTATACTCGTATTATAAAATAACAATGTATGTTTGTTACAACGCAATTCAAGAAAGACTTAATAGATTTGGACGAAATTTAGAACAAAAATTAATTACAGATTGGAATTGAGTGTAGTCTACTTTTTACTCTTTATTACATATTTATGAAGAAATTTAAATATACATCATACATGTGAAGTCAACCATCCCGCACTAGGCCAGTGTGGTTGACTATGACCTTAGCATCCCTCAGTAGGGTAGGCTCCGCGCCCCTCAGTGCGGACATAAATATATGAGCTGGCAACATATAGCGTAGTACATGGCTTGTAATTTAATATATAGCTTCTCAACGGACATATAAACTGAAATATTTATTCGTTTAACCCAAATCAATGTATTGTCAACACTGAAAGATGAATTGCTTGTTCTGGTTTTCTGTAATCCAATCCTATATTTAGAAACAAATAGAACCCCACAGAGTAAATTAAGTACATGAAAATTATATTGAAACAGATATTAAATAACAATTTAATTCTTGTACGGACATAAACTGATTTGCGATTTACGTTAACCAATTATCAAATAATTTCAAAATCTTTATTGCTCATCATCATCACTATACGTCCCCACCGAGGGGCTCGGAGCCTACTCTAAGTTAAGAGTGATTAGGCCATAGTCAACCGCGCTGGCCAAGTGCGCGTTGGTTGACTTCACACATGTCTTTGAATTTCTTCTCAGATATGTGCAGGATGCATCACGATGTTTTCCCTCGCCGTAAGAACTTCGGATAAATGTACATATGTAAATCGAAAAACTCATTGGTACATGGCGGAATTCGAACCCAGGTCCTGCAGATTGCAAGTCAAGTGCTTGACCCCTGAGCCACCGACGCTGGTTTATTGATACTAATGTAATTAATAGAGTTCGGTAATATTGTGTAATGTTTGCAAACATCCAGGATTACATTTGATCAACATCCCTTTGGTAATGGAACGTATCAATATTGAAAGAACAATACACACGATGCCTGAATAAATATGATTACTTGATTGAATATATATCAAAAAAAATTATAAATATACCAACGTAATTAGAAAAAGAAATTATACGAGTATACATCTTAATCATTAATTTAAAATATAATAATTCAATTTTACTTATATATTTCCGTTCGAAATTTAATAAAAAAAAACACATATAGTAACCTTTGTGGTCTTTGAGACTATATTCTATATGTATGCTAAATTTAATCGAAATCCGTTCAGCCGTTCTTTTTTTATATCATAAGGTGGCAAACGAGCGAGCGGCCACCTGAAATCGCTGAAATAGCGAAGCGACCGTTGCCCATAGACATATGCAATTGCATATGCGTTGCCTACCTTTAATCGACGGAAGAGAGGATGCACAGAAAGAAAACATTTCCATGCATCCTCTCATCCGGAAAGTCCACTTCCACTTCCCATCCATTCCTTATAAGAAAAAGGGTGGAAAGGAAAAGAGGAGTAAATTAGGTCTCCGGGACGCACACTCATCAGACGAAACGCAGAATTGCTTCCACTTGACGCGTGTCTTCTGTGTGGTCGTGGTATTTCACCGGGCGAGCCGGGCCAATTCGTGCGAAGATGTTAAAGCGGGCTCTACCACTGTTAAATAGTTCTGGATATATCTTCAAACAAACATCCATCCATCCATCTAAACACTCGCATTTACAACATTTATAATATTAGTAAGATAGTAAAAATATCTTATTTCACCAGTGATAGATTTCCCTTGTCTTAAATAAGAGCAAAACTCGTAATCAAAATTCTAGTCAGTATAGCCAGAGGTGCTTTAGGAATACTTCGTAAAATGATCCGCCCAGTTCATTATGCTATTAACTTTAAGCTTAATTATGAAGTTCGTTGCTTCAAGCATACGAGTCAGCTACTTAAACATTGCTTTAAAACTTAACATTATGCTAAAGTTTTTAAGCTTTATTTTACCTGCTATTACTTTTACCTGATTACCTTTAGAAATACTAACTTCGATAATACTTAATTAGCAATGTCGATTTTTGCCCTTACATTCTTAATTAGTATTTTTTTATTAATTAAATTAAAGAAAACATTCTGTGAAATGTAATAAAAGATTTATAAATTTAATTTACATTAATATAATCTGTGCTATTAATTAAAAACCCTCTCTAAGCTGAAGTAAAGCCTAGTTGTAAACTATAGGATGGCTTTCATATCGCAAGACTGCAGACCCCGTCTGGACAAATGCGCCCCGAGCGCTCCTATTCACTGAGTCCCCTTTTCAGCGATACGCTCTGTTTTAACATCTCCAAGTATTAACGTTAGCTACATATAAATTGTCATATTTACCATAGAATTCTGACTTTAAATGCACCCACGATGGAATTGAGAGTGAACTTTTTTGTCTTGTTCAGCAACGTTAAATATAGTCTTCACTTTACGCCACAATTTTTACAAAGTAACTTAGAAAAACTGGCGGAGTCTGAGGGAATTTGACTTCCTCTGTTTAGTACATTTTGTAGTTAAGTCGCTAATTAAAATCCCTACTACCTCTTCGCACAATCGTCGCGCTCGTCTGAAGCTATGTGTTCGAAATACCCACTTGTGCGAGAACACCAAAAATGTCAGTGTACCAACATTGAAAATATAGAAAATATACCTGACAGCTACATTCAATATGTTACTAAATACAGTCGTTCAGTTAAACTTACGTGTGAATGAAATGTTACTTTAAAACTAATTTATTAGTCAAAATATGAATTCTAGCGAACTTATTCACTGCGCTAAGAAACCAGTTCAAACTTCGAAGGCAAATGCGCTTCCAACAACAAACTTATATAACTTTCCTCGAATGTTTTCCATATAAAATAATTTATCACTTTGTTTGCAAGAGTGCAATGAAATAGTAGTTGGAAATATTTACTATAATTAATTATATCTATATTTCTACTATAAAATTGTAAGTTTTATTTGTAATATTTCATCTTTATCGTAACTACAGTGCCGATTTAAATAATTCTACCAAGTCTTATTGAGAATTTGAACGCCTGTCAAAAAAGAAGCAGCAATAATGTACCAAAAAGAATTTATCGATTTTTCTCTCCTTCTAGACGCCCACCATACTATTACATAAGACGACTAATTAACACCGAGACGACTTAGACGAAATATTTATTTTTATATTCTTACTTCGTATGCTAGACTAAAAAAAGCATTTTAATATAAATTTTACCACATTTTTTCTTTTTAATCAGGTACAATTGACCCAGTAGTCTATCTTTATTGAAAGCTTCTAAAGCACACATGTTTGTCGCAATAGTAAGGTCTACACTACATCATCCTGTGTCATGTATGTACATATGTAGGTTGCGTTTAATTACATCCAGCGGTTAACCTAAAGCTTTGTTGGAATTGTTAGCACCGTTATAGAGTGACCAGTACTGTATATAACGATCCACATACAGTTTATGATAAATTAAAAAAGAAATGAAATATGAAACATATAATTTTAATATTTAAATTTATTTATTTATTTTATTTATGTTTTAATTTTATAATAAAGATAAATACAGAATTCCACCAAATGTCAGGAGTCCCACGATTGCGATAACCATTTTAAAAATCTGTAAAAATACAATAAGTTATTGAAGTTTTCAGAAGACTTATAATCATTATTTTTAATTGTTAATTTGCCAGGAAATTATACTTTAAAATAATCTATAATTGTATAGAATCATTAAATTCAATATTAATTTAATTTTACACTTACCTTGTCTTGAAACTGTCGATTTTTCACGCATTGACTGTATGGCATATTAGTAAAAGACACCGAATTATATAATGGTACCCATAAATTTGGTATCAGCCAAAATAGAAAATCATCAATCGTCTTTCGAAACAGATAAGATGGTCGAGTCACCAAATCTCTCATCTAAAAACCAAATGCTCAATAAACATACCGTACTACGAGTTTAAGATATTATGATGATCTTTATATTAATCTTACCTCCACATAATTATACATAGCTAAATCACTAATAGCAAACACATCGACCCATCTTGTAGCGGAGAATTCGTCTAGGATATTTTTAAGGTTATCATTGTGTTTTTGAAATAATTCATCTAGAATCGTACAATCCTCGAATCCACAGTTCATTCCTTGTCCGTAGAATGGTACGACAGCATGCGCGGCATCGCCGATTAGAAGAGCTTTGTCTTTAACATGATACGGTCGACACTGAAATGAACAAATAAAAAAAAAATCAAAATAGGAGCACCAGGGGCGGAGTTACGCGGTAACACATAAAAAAACAGATGAATTGATAACCTCCTTCTTTTTGAAGTAGGCTAAAAATCCCGCATAGTACATAAATGTTATAGTAACAGATCATCAGCCTGCACATAACTTAGGGCTGATGCCATAGTACTGCCCTTCCATACATCTCTCTCAGCCGTCATATTCTGAAATATAAGTACTAATAATTTGTAATTACCTTTACAGAAACTAAAGGTAAAGCTGATCCAGAAAAGAAGTCCTCCATCAATTTCTTTTTCCCAATTAAAGGAATTGCATCAGAGAAATATTTTCCAAAGAAATTCAAAAGCTTCTCATCCGAATCAATTTCATTGAATTTAGCAAATGGCATGAAAAGTGTGACAGTCCATGTACGATCTTGATTTGGTAAAGCAATCAACATGAAGTTACCCCTCGGCCAAATATGTAAATACTGCGAAGGCATCTGAAACTATAATACAAAATGCTTGAATATTTAGCAAACAATTATCAGTAATTGTTAAGGACGACGATAAATCATAGGATATGCTAGTTACGGATAAATCCACATCATTAGGACATCGTCAATCACTCATGTTTGTACACGTTAACTGAATATTTCGCCGTAACTATAATACATATTTGATATTGTATTCAGACGTATAAGTCGGTGCTACTGAAAATGAGACTATACGGTATTTATATTATATTATTATTGATACATATAGTATGTGCTCAGACAAATAAATATCAAAAATTACAATTCGATAGTAGTGAAGATTATAACGAAAGTGATCAGTGCATTAACAATATATTAAAAAGTCGTTTTACCTCCAAAAATCACATTACTCTTGTATATTCTAACGCTAACGTCGACGGCTTAATTAAAATGATTAATCTTAATAATTGCTACAGTGTCAGACTAAGGAACTTTACATCTGAAAATGGTCTTCTAGGAACGACAATTTATATTATTATAGCACAAGACATTGAAGAAATATCCAACGGTCTAAAAGAACAGACAAGAGACATTCTTTGGAACCCAAGAGCAACTTTTATTGTTCATATTAGGAAGATTGCTCCGGGCCATTTAATGAACGTTTTTAACATTTTTAGATATCATAAACTCTATGAAGTTGTTCTTTTAAATTATGTGAATCCTGAGAATACTGAAATGTTAACTTATTTTCCATTTGAAAAGGACAATTGTGGGGAAAAATTTGATGAAATAGTTAATCTAGGATCATGTCGAGATACAAACGGTACAAAGAAATTGTTTAGAAAAAATGTGGAGTATTCATTACGTAATTGTGTAGTGAAAGTCGCAGCTAAGGAAGATATTCCAATGGTTATACTTAAGTCAAGCAATTACACTGTTTTTGGGGAATACGTGCTGGGTTTAGAACAATACATGCTAGAGACTATTGCTGCTGTAGAAGGATTTACAATAAAATATGAATACTATGATGCTGATACAATGTATGGAGTAGTTTTACCCAACCGGACTACAAGTGGACTTCTAAGCAGACTGCAAGATGGTAAAGTAAATTTGGCAACAGGAGGTTTTGTCTTAATTCAAAATCGAGTCGAAGTATTCGATTACATATGGGGATATAACTATGCAGACCTAATTTTACTCACACCTACTACTAAGGAAAATATTTGGAAAAAAGTCTATCGTGAATTTGGTTTGAAAACATGGCTGTTAATATTACTTGCTTATGTTTTTATGGTTTGTTTTACTGCGACATCGAGAATACTTATATCGACCGAAAAACCGGAGTTTTTAATGCTAAGCATTAAACTATGCGCTTATTTTTATGAACACAGCGATAATAGATTATTCAAAAATACGAAGCCTAAAAGTATAATTGTATTATGGGCACTTTTTACTTTTTTCATTAACAGTTTTTACAATACAGCGTATTATAGTTTAGTTGCTGGACATGTTAAAGATGAAAGAACATTTGACTCTGATGATATAAACTCACTACCTTATAAACCTTGTGTTAATGATGGTATGAGATCTTTTTTTCAATACGCTTACAACATCATCCTTCCAAAAGGTATTGATAATCCAGATTGTAGATTTACAGAAAGTGCAATGAACACTGTTGCTAATAGAAAAGATGTTTATGCGATAGAAATGAACTACAGTTATAGATTGAGAGAATTTATGTACATTGATAATGATGGGAACCATTTAATAGACGCTTGGGACTTCTCTTACGATACCGTAATGACTATATACGCAACTCGTGGATTTCCGTTGAAAGATAAATTTCAAAAATATGCCTCATATATGTACGAAGCTGGGTTTATGCAGAGACAATTACACTTAATTTATGTAAAAAATCTAAGCACAATGGAACATCGATATAAGAAATATAGAAAAATTAGTCTAGCAGACTTTAGAATTCATTTTGCTGTTCTTATTAATGGGACTATAATTTCTTTGTTTTGTTTTCTATGTGAAAAACTTAAACCTAGATGCAGGTTTCATTTTACTAACTAAAATATGAAAATATATAAAAGAAATTTGATAAATAGCTGACTTAATTTTTTCTCGAAATATTATTAACCGCTTACAGATTACTCGAAGTTTTAAGTTGTAACAGTTTTAAATCACACTTCATTTGTTTTAAATAGTATATCATGTGTTTAATTAAAATTGCTTGCATCTCTTACCTCGCCATCATCACCCGGTGGTATGCATAATTCCATATAACCGTGTTCAATGTATTTTTGACTATAATCAAATAGTGGCTCCTTCATCATTGCTTTTCGGACTGCGGAATACGCACCGTCCGAACCAATTATTAAATCTGCATTCACATCTACTGTTTCATTTGTCTGCGTCCTGGAATGCGTGTAAAATGTGCAAGCAATAATATAAAAAAATGTTTTACAACAAAAACAATGTTACAAGTTGTAAAAACAGTTGGAACACGAAAAATACATACTTTTGAAATGTTAGTAAACCCTTTTGAAGATTTGTGTTGATCAATTTGTGATTAAAATGTTTCTCAACATTTTTGTATTTCTCTGATTCTGCAATTTACAGTAATAGATATATTAAATAAATCATTATTTAATTTAATAAATTTTATCTTACTAATATTATAAATGGGAATGTTTAAATAGATTACAAGATATCTGCGAAACGGCTCCACAGTTATAATGAAATTTGGCAAAGACATAGAGCATAGCCTGGAAATGGAAGCAACACATAGCCGCGCGGACGGAGTCGCAGGCGACAGCTAGTTAGGAAACAAGTTTCTTGTATAAGCTAACATATTAGCTTTGACTCAATATAAAAATACCATAATTTATCTATTATATTATATTGATTTATTTGTTGAAATGTTGTGTTTTTTTACTTTATCGTTTTTTATAAGTACCATAAATCAATAATTGCAAAGCAAGGTATTTTACATGTTTTATCTTTTTAAAGCCAATACGTCATATTGATAGGTAAGAAAATTAATAAACATTAAATATTAAGCTATTTAACAAGCGTTAATTAATTTAAACAGCACCGCATGAGTCGGAGCTTTAATTAAATTGCTTGTTGAACGAACAGCTTGCATTATTTAGAGATAATTACACTATGACAAACATTTTGCATACTGTAATTATCATTATTGTGACGAAACTTAAGACATTAAAAAATATGTCGAAACCTTACGAACCTTTTAATAGTAGACAATTTAAGAAGTTTCTGCCGACGGAATAAATACACTGAAAAAAAAATAGAACTTAAGCCACAAAAATAACAAAAGTATTCAAAATTATTCAGAACTTTTTTACAGTGCAGTGTCCAATACTGCAATACATATACAAACTCTTTTATCTCGTCTTCTTGTTCAAATTAGATTTTAATTAAATCGCTATTCTTCTATGTGAAAATAATACTATTACAAAGTCGCTTTCCTTCCTTAAACTCTTACCTGATTAGTCCTAGAGTCATAAGGTATGATATACGTGGATCCATCAAGCCTGTGTATATACCGTCCGACCATAGGAATGCCATGTTCTTGTACCATTTGCTGCTCCAAACCGACACCTCTCAGTGCCTTCCGCCCGCGAACTGATAATGCCAAGTTAATAGATCTACCCCTGGCAGTTGGGGTATTTCGAATGTCTGGAAATAGATGAAATTCTCTCAATAATGATTCAGTATAGAGCCAATGACTTGTTAAAAGTACGGATATCCTATTACATGGTCATTTGTTTCATCCCGCTATTAAAGTATAATATTCGAGAACCATAATCCTAATCTAGCTTTGATTGAAATAATATTAATACAAAAAAGAAGAATAAAAAATCCTAATAGACCTGGCTTTAGATATATATTTTTGACATTCAATTAGCCATGGGACATCTTCACAGCAGAGTAGAGCCGAAATTGAAGAATAGACTTTTAATTAACCATTTAACCTATTGTCAAGATCACCTATGGGACATATTAAAGATTCGCTTCCGTTGACATTATTGGTTAATTTAAGCGTTAATTATTAATTTGACCTTCAAGTTTCTATGATGGTTATAATAATTCTACTAGGAGATGGTTCAAGAGTTAGTCATCAAGCAGACTCAAATCTATGATTTTTAACTTCTCACTGAAACTAAAAGCATTGTAAAATAATTTATGGGATATTTATTTATATTTGGCTTTGTATATAGCAATGGGTTTTTAGTACGATAATTTACAGCCTCGCCATATTAATATTATTCAATATATTACTCTAAGCTATAGTAACTGTAAAAAACATTGTTCATTTTATATTTATAAAAAAACTACTTTACTATGGTATTTTAATAAATTACTTTTTTGATATTAAATATTAACGAGTCTTGACTATTATTATTTTTATTTAAATTGATAATTCATGATAATGTATCAATTAATAACTCGTTGTGGACCGGTCGGCACGTGCCTAATAATGTCTCGCTCACCTTCACGATACTCGTATAGGCGTACGCGATGACCCCTCTTGGCCAAATACAAAGCTTCCAGTGATCCGACCTGTCAAAGAAATGGTTTTTTTACATCCTGTTATCATCACAAGCAACTGTCAATTGATCATTCTTAATTGTGCTTCTTGCTTGTTACTATTCTACGCAGATAAAGATGCCGATAAACTGCAGATATAAAGTTTATTTAATTTCTTATCTTCTCTTATTACTAATCTAACCTATAATTTGCATGTGAAAATGACCAACATAATATCTATATGAACAGAGGCAAAATATATGTGGTAGTTTTTGACGTCACATAGCCAATTTTATTTTTATAAGAGAAGGGGCAAACGATCGGCGGGAACACCGAGGTGATCAACGACACACATGGACATCTGCAACACCAGAAGAACTGCAGATGTGTTGCCGGCCTTTAAGGAAATGGTATGTTCGCTTCTTGAATTACACTAGTATATCTATAAGTTAGTAGTTGCAAATTAAGCAAAGCCCCGTGTTATTGGTTACGCATGGTCTACGTTATTCTTGGTAATCTAACGCTATTCCTAGAACGTTTGAATCTGTCTGTGATTAACTTAATGCAACAAAACATTATGTAAATATTTATATTATCTTAATGTTGTAAATGTCATGCAGAATTTTCCACTCGATTTGCGAACTAATCAATTTACTTCCTTGATACGTGTGATGTTTACACACATAGAAATTTTATAGTTGACCTTTCTCTATCACCGTGGATTTGCGTTGTCCGAATATTCAAAAACATAGTGCTGTCTCTATAGAAGAAATTGAGAGAGACGATAGTATATTTTACATTAATATTTCTTTAGTGAAAACGTATTAATGATACGATTATTCTTTTTAGATTCTCTAATACTACTTAAATATGTTTTATAGTTATTCAGTTTGACTAAGATGTAAAGGGACCTCTTTTCTGCTAAAAGCATTAAGGCTTGTTGCCGATTTTACCTAAGCAGTGTTTGTAGTAACTTTTAAAAGCATCTAAGCAATCAAAGAAATAGTCAGGGTGCGGAAATAGTGGAATTGTTTTGAAATAAAAAATAATACAGCGTCTTAACTAGTACTATTAAAATCGATTTTATGCAAATAAAATCTTAAATGCTGTAAAAGTAATACGTAACTTTATGTCACGCGGAGTGTTAACAACTTTTGAAAAAAACATATTTACTTAAAGAAATACCAGTTTTGAAAAGACAACAATCTGAAAATCATGACGCAAACAGATTTATAATTCGAACATTTTATATATTGTTTTTGTTTAGTTCGAGATGTAACGGTAGGTTTCCACTGTGATACTTGTGTATTAATATACATATTTCGGTCAGTTGTCAAAGAGATGTCAATATGATAGATGGACAAAGTAATCTGACCCGGTGGGTATAATTCAAACTGTATTATGATGTCAAAGTCAAAAATTGTCAAAAGATCCTTGCCGTACTGCAACTGTCATGGCTCCTTTCATGTTATTTTCGATGATGAGAGCTTAACATATATTTTCAGACAGGTCTTACTGCAAAGCAGCGCCTATCTCACCGGGCCAGGTATCCTTGTTTGACTATACGTCATCTCGATGGCTATGCAGACTTCGGTGTTTTCTGGCACAATAAGCGCGATACGATCGATTTATTATTCACTATTTCAATTGGCACTCCCTTTGTTACCTTTCCATCCATCTCCTTTGAAGCTCCCTACAGAACTATCCACATTCATATTTAATGTTCTTGTTACGTGTCATTCTTCCCTCCTAATAATATGCTAATTATAATAATTATTAAATAAATAAAAATAAAAAAAAAACTTTAGATGAAACTCAATTAGATTTCCTAAGAAATTATTGGTCTTAATGAATAACGGTTTATTGAAAAGATTACGTGTCGTTCATCGAGGAACCTTAACCATCCCTAATTTAAGAAAGTGAGCCTTTCTTAAAACCTCAATGAAGACATAAATAAGCTGATGAATATATAACTTAAAAATAATTAGGTATAAAAACGTTTTTGTAACATATTGCATAAGGTTTCATAATCGCAATGAAAACTAAATGTATAAAATAATAATCGTATTCTAATCGAATATTTAATTTATTATATGCTTGAAATCATCTAAATATAATTCTTAAAACTTGTTTAAAATATCTAAATATAAATTATAAAAAAAAACAAGTTATTTAAAAATAGAGTATTTCTAAAGATAATTTTTAAAACACAACAAACATCTAAATTAAATTATTTTATTTATTTAATAAATAATTTAAAAATGTACTTACCAAACCTCCTCCCACGATAACTATATCTAAGGGTTTATTCTTACGTCCATTTTGATACGTTGCCATTTTTTTAATCAAATTTTTATTTTTATTAAATGTAACAAATACGAATTTGTTTAATTTCAATTAATAACTAATTAAATTATTTGAATAAAATTATGTTGTATATTTTGGTAAAACAAATGACTTAGATATATAAATCGAGAGAGATGTATGTCGGAAGTGATCAAGAAGTGGACTGAACGTGTATCGTCGTTCACGGGACATCCTGGCCTTACACTACATTTAGGGATGTCAACTTTTAATAACATTAAACTCGAACACTCCAGACGACAAAGAAACGACCAGTTTAGACTTAACTCCTTGGCGCAAGCCAAAACAAAACAACATCCAGTGTTTTTTTTCACTCTGTCACTTGTTTCCAAGACATGAATGTTAAATCTCTTTCGAATATGTACACCACAGAAACAAAGATGTGGCAACCCTATCATACCACGTGCCTCTGTGACAATTTGAAATAACAACCCGTCTATACGAGTATATTTCCCTGAAGCAGTAATTAAATTAGTGTTCGATAATGAGTGTGTAAAAAGAATTTTTGATTAAATATTTCATTTTAATAAATACTTTTTTTAATCGATTAACATACACAGACAAATTATATTTCTTATATGTACTGTTACCGAATGCTTAATGTGAAATTTTCAAATAGATTTTCAAATTATTCGATATAAAAAGCTTTCGATTAAATTTGCAAACAATTTCGACTTTATACATCGGTACAATATCTTTATTTTGATCAGGTGCCATTAAATTGCAAACGAGTTAATTAAAAAAAAATGTTTTTAATTTGATTTTTTAATTTCATTTCCAGGTCATCAACTTATACGTCAATTGTGCAATGTAAACAGTATTAAAATTAAAGCAAGAGTTTGCAAAACTTGTACTTCTAATAATTAAAAATTGAACATAAAAAGTCGAAATACAACATCAATCGAATGCACATTTAAAATATTATTTTATGTATAAGTAGAACAAAATTGTTGAATTAAATTGCGTAATCTTTAATCCAAACTTCATTCAGACCCGTTTAGAATCCGTTTCGTTGTATTAAACATTCATACCATACATCCAGTAACCGTGGATTTCTGATACCAAAATCTTTATATAAAACATATCGTCATCTCTGTCACATTTTTCGACGAAACAGAGATATCAATATGTTTTAAGCTAGGATTTTAGTTTCGGAAACTCACTGTAAAAAGATAAATTACTAAATATATTATCGATTTGGTCATGACTTTGTTCAAGCAAAATGTTACTAAACTAAATAATAAGCGGTTAATGATTCTTAATCGAAACATTACGACACATATTATTATGCACATAGATTAACAATTAATGACGTCACTACGATTCTTTGGTATCGAAAACTTGTGAGACATTATTATTAAATACTCCTTAAAGTGCTTATAAATATTAACACTTGTTAAAAAATCTTTAAGTATGCTTTTTGTTATACTAAATTATAAAATTAACCTAAAAGTCAAATTGAAACATAATTGAATTTTTTGGCGGAATTCAAAAATAGAAAAAAATCTTGACCCATCCTAACACTGAGGTTCAACGACATTTGGAATTATAATAATACAAACAAAAACACTTTGTTTATGCCCAAGTTTTTGTTTTTGGCAAACCATATCAAGTAATTTATATATCAAAAACATATAATTTCCAGAAGTTTCCCAAAAATATAATATCTATTGGGAAATAATGTTTACCCAAGCAAAACTGCGCACTAACATTGGACGTCGAATTATTTATTATAAAGATTCAAAAATCACTTACGTGTAAAAAGTGTAAGCATCTTAAAACCACTTTCATTTTTTTTTATTTTTCTGCGGTCAATAAACTGAACAGGTTTCGTCATATGTCCAAAAGCAAGGAATTAATCAATTTAAGTCCTTAACAATTAAATTATCACTAATACTAAATACAAAATTACAACGAATGCTTTTGTCCAGTTGATAGAAGAGTAATCGTACCTGATGCAAATATATTCTCAAACATGTTGTTTGACATGTTTTTTCTTGATAGAGATCCGCGTTCCAACGTTGATTATGTCTAACACATCGAAAATTAGTAATCGAATATGACAACTCTATTCTCATCGGATAAACCGTCTAACCTCAATTCATTTTAAAAGACAATGCTACAAAATATTATATAATGAAGTTTAATACGCTATGCCTAACGGAAACATGATTCCTGACATTCGAGACAAATCCGTCGTGTCAAATTACTCAGGCTACGCGGTTTATGCTTGAAAGCTTGTTGCTGCTAGGATTTCATTTAGCGTTTGTTTAAGTACTTTAAATTGAATTAAAGTTAATTGTTACCATCGGATGTGTTGGCGAATGGTACAAAGTAAAAGAAGAAAAGATCGAGTGTGCTCCTCAAAGTACTAATTAGTTTCATAGTCCATTAAACATTAAAACGTTTGTCTGTCATCGTTCACTAAGGAAACATATCCATACTACGTAACCTATTTTTTTAGTTTTTTCGACCCTTCCCTCCCCTCAGTGACCACTCATAGTACATGCCAAATCCCCCTTTATTTAAAGTTAGCAAATAGCTACTGAACTAAATAGCTATTTGCTAACTTTTTCTTTCTGAGAACACTAACTCAAAAACCCTTAAAAAGTTATAAAACAAATAAAGCTATATCAAAATAATAACCCTGATAATTAAATTGTAATGCAATCAAACTAAAAAGTTCTCACGTTTTTTGTTTACCTGCGATATTATATATATATAGTGTTTTAAATGCGAGCTTTAGTAACTAAAATTATTAGACTTTGGATCTACATGGATTAAGTTTTCGTTATGTATTTGGTATGTTACGTTGCATTTATTTATTCTAAAAGTTCGTATAATTTATAAACACTTAAGATAAAACCTTGTATTTTATGTTTATTTGGTTTTTAATACGGAAATAGTATGGCTTCAACAATAAAAAAACACGAGTCAATACAGGTTTATTCAAATTTTAAAATTAACTATTTAATTAACTAACTAATTCACCATTCAATGTGTACAAAGTGTAAATTGTAAAAAGTTAACAAATATATATATATATAAAAGAAAGTCGTGTTAGTTACACTATTTATAACTCAAGTTCTTGAGCGGCTTACTGATTTGGTTGAAAATTGGTGAGGAGGTAGCTTGGAGCCAGGAGACAGACATAGGATACTATTAATTCATTTTTTAAAATATTTTTTTGCATTTACGCCTTGAATAGCAGCTTTTTATTTAACTTATCTATATATTATTATAAGTTTTTTTATATATCCACGCGGACGGCGTCGCGGGCGACAGCTAGTATTATTTAAAAAAAAAAACTGTTAATGACACTAAGCGAGAGTAAATTGAGTATTTTACACAACTGAAAACATCTTAATTATATAAGATTTTTTTTAATAACAACTTTGTAATATACAAATTTTATTATGGTTAATTTTTCGAGCCAAAACAAGGCAAAGGATTCCCTTCGTTCCCGCAAAGTTCAAACACTAATACGTTCAATTGGATTTTGTCGGCATTCGCAGCGAGCTGATAGGTTTATTGCCGCTCGTGCGAGGTTCACGTTCAATCGATGTTAATTATCAGATAAAATGTAACAGAATATTCAAGTATAACTTTACAATTAATTGATTTAAAAGCCGTCTTCAATGTTCCTATCGTATATACAGATTTCGATACTTTTTAATAAATGTATTATATTATATTGCAGTAATGGAAGGACGACATACTAATATTTTTTTTGTTCAGCACAGACGGAGTCGCGGGCGACAGCTAGTATTTGAATAATTAAGTTTTGAACTTGCGTTTACCTCTATGACAAGCCGCCTTTTTGCGAGTTGATCAATTTGAATAGTAGAAAAAAGTGTTGAATTTTAATTTTATTAAGGAGAAATAAATACGAATAAATGTCAAAATTTATTTATTTTACTTATTAAAAATTGTATCTTATCTATTATAATGATTTATTCTTAAATTAATTAAATTAGAAACTCATATTCGAGGGCATAGATGAGTGGTCTTCAGAGGGACTCTGGCTGGAGCTGAAAGAGCTGAGAGTTTCGCGCGTTTCCTCTTTTATCTTGAGATGTTCTGTGGTGGAAGGCGGCCGCGGTGCTAACAACTTGTCTTTATCTTTTGATGATTTATCTTTGCTGCTGTGTTTGTGCTTGTGTTTATGTTTGTGCTTCTTCTTTTCCTTCTTCTTTTTCTTTGCCTGTGAAAAATAAAATTTTTTACATTCTATAAAGTATTTTACAGTACACAGTAGTCAAACTGACAGTTGTTTTTTTTATCAGAACACTAACGGTCGCCCGCGACTCCATCCGCGCGGAATTAAAAAAAAAACATAATTAATAGCCTATGTGTTGATCCAGACTATATGTATGCAAAATTTCATCCGCTGCCGTTTCAGCCGTTCTGGTGATACCTACAAAGAAACATCCTTCCATCCAAACATTCACATTTATATTACTAGTAAGATTAATAACATTGTAATATTTTATTCGTAAGGGGGCAGTGTTTATGTTAGAAGCGACGTCTGTCTGTTTGCTGTCGTCTCTCAGTCTTCTCAGGTGAAATGAACTCAATAGATTTTTCTCGATTTCTTAGCTTACCTTAGGTGCTGAGAGATCATGATGGTCCTTATCACGTTTGAACATGCCGGGCTCGAAGCCGACCGGGCCCGAGCTGCCGGGGATGCCGGGCAGCGGCACCGCGTTGTCAGATATAAACTCGCGCTTGTTCTCCTCCTGATATAAAAACATATACTTGTTTTTTTAACGAGAATATAAGACAATATATAATAAAAAAATTAAAGTGTCTCACTAAAGTAAAAAAAAATCGTAATTCTTGAACATGATGTATTCGCGTTACGTATAAAAGCCTTATAAAATTTTAAATTATTTGTCTGTTTCTTGCTATCTCTATTTTTGGTGAAAGGATTAAAAGGGACAACAATATCATTTATACGAATATATCGACGATAGAAACCTACAATAACGCGCACAAATGCCTTATTCAGTATTGTTTCATACTTGGAAAAATTAAAATAAAACCTTTTTGCTGTGTAAATTTTACGTTTATATAATAATCAGCAATAGTTTCGCAAAAATAACTTTCTTTTTAAAACTACATACAATTCACGTTCAATTAAAAA